CTCCGGGGGACCCTGCCTCTCATTTCCAGCCTCAGCCCCAACGAGTGGCTCACGCTGCAAATCCAGCCCCTGAGCCTGCTCAGCACGGACAGCAAGGACAGCCGCCTGTGAGACCCCGCCATGCTGAGGAGTGGGTGCCCCCAGTGCCACACACTCACCCAACTACCTCTTCCAGCTACTGCCCATGGGGAGCAGCTACTCCGATAAGCTACCGTCAACCCCTGAATGTCAATTCATCAAACTGAGCAGTGCCCCAGATGAGACTCACCTGAGAAGCACCAGCTTCACTCCTTCGGGGGCTGCTCTGGCCCTGGTACTGCTCTGGCTAGCCCCCAGCACGCCCTGAACCATCCCTCCAGCCAGTCTCCTGTGCAAAGCTAACGAGACACAGGATGCACTGGAGGCACTCATCCCACTCTCCTCTGACCACCAAGTCCAAGGACACACACCAGGATGTTTCCAAAGGGCCGTCCTGCCCTGTCTGCCCCCAGACTCAGGGCCACCCTTGGGAGCCAGTGTCAGCCCTGTGCTTCCCCTCCCCACTTCCCCCTTTCACAGCCCAGCGCTGGGCTCCTCCAGCTGACGTCTGCACCGCCACTGCCATACCAACCTTTCTTTCACAACACAGGCACCAAGAGCAGCCTGACGTCAGCCACCCTGCTGCTGGGACACAGCTCTCACCCTGGCTGGCCTCGCTTGGAGGAGCAATGGAGTTTCCTGACCTTACACGGACCCTTCATCTGCTCACAGCCCCTCTGGCATAGACCTGGGGTGCTGGCTACCTCTGACGAGGTGCAGGATGCCTGCAGCCCTGCCTACACTATGGGCCATGTCCTGCCACTATTGCATACAGACATTATTTATTCTATTTAATTTGTAAATACAGAAAGGATGTGGTGTTATTTGTTTGGTCCATTCATCTGTACCTCTTCTTCTAAGGTCAAGCTGTGCTTTTCGTTTTGAGATACAGACTTTTCCCTGCAGCAAAGGGCAACGTGCCTTTCCCTCACATGGGGAAAAGCATTTCCGCATCACAACTGGAAAGAAAGGAGAACAAAGGCAGCCCACTGAGAGCTTCCCACTCATCTGGGGACCCGGGTAGTTGTCCCAGGCGAGCGTTGTGCTGTAGGAGCATGCACCAGAGAAGGGGCAGGGAAAAGGACCCGTCCGCCTGCAGTGATTTGGCAGGGAGGCAGCTCAGGGAAGGATGGGAGCACTTCCAGGGCAGAGTGGAACAAGTCCAAAGTGAGGGGTGGGGGAATAGTTCTGTCAAAATGGAAACAAGCATGAGATAGGAACAACTTATTGTGAGCTACATTGAACTGCTGCCAGGTCACTGGAGAGTTCTTCCAAGAGTCACTTGTTTCCAAGAACCTTGACAGTGGGATAGTCCCATTAAATCTGTCAGTGGAAACCCAGCTCGGGGAGTGCCTGTTTTCAGGTGAAAAGATGAATCACCACAGCCAGGAGAAGGGTTGTTGATGCACTGCTGCATTTCTCTGTCAGGGCTGATGTCTCACCACTTCCACTCCAGATCCTCTCCCTGTGTCGTGCGGAGGGCTGGGTGCTGGCCACGGTGGGCACCCGCTCCAGCGGCACCGCCGATACCAGCCGCCTGCATCCTCCTGCTGTGCCATTTCCACCAGTTTTTCTGCTGCTGGGTATTTTGGGGTTTGGGGCTTTTGACTTTCTATTTTTCTACTTCCTCTGAAAAATGGACTCATCAAAACTAAGTGTGACTTTCCTTTTTTTTTTTTTTTTTCTTCTTTAAACGCTCCTGACGTCAGCGCAGCGCTGGCTGCTGCCGGTTCCTCCTCGCTGTGAAGGGCTCCAGCTGGCAGCATCCAGGGGCAGCAGCCGTTTCCCTTCCCCTCACGAGCAGCCAGGGCTCTCCTTTCAACGAAACCCTGAGGAGTTTGCCAGAAAGCCAGAGACCATGCGCTTTGGCTTCGATAGCTGAGAGCACGGACGGTCCCCCCAACTCTCTGGAAATCCCAGATCAGATACTCATATTTTCCTGAATTTAGTCACAGGCTAACAAGTGGAGGACATCCAGTTCTGACTCCTCCTGCAAGCTGCTTTCTGAGCTGTTTGCTTGCACTACCCATGCAGACCATAAATTTCCACACTGGTCCATCTATTTGACTGAAGAGGGAAGTCTGAAGCAGTCTCATTTCCTTACAGCATTTTCCCTTATTGCACAAAAAGCAGCCAGCCAGTTCTGTGCCTCACTGCCATCCTTTTTAGCTGGTGCCTTGCACTCCCAATGCCCTGTTCACCAACAGCCTGGCCAGAGAGAGCCAGCAAGGGAAATGCAGCTGCAAGGAACAGATGGAGAAGCTGTTAAAAACAGAAACTGCACTGTTCCAGTTTCAGTAGAAATCCAACATATTCGGGGGCTATTTTTTGAAGAAGCAAGACCAGAGGAATTCCCCCCCGGCAGGTTTTGGTTGCTCTTTCTGTCGCTGTTGAAGGCAGGCGTGTGGCAGCACGGGGAAGCGGGGCAGGTAGCACAGGGGCTCCAGCCCCAGCCACATGCCCAGTGTGACCGAGGACAGCAGGGCACAAATGCAAACCAAAACCTGCACAGGGGGAAATAAACCTTGAGCCCAGGGAAAGCCCCTGGCGCCCCACAGGCATGGGGAGGAATTTTGCAGGGAAAACCTTGGGACTGTCCCAGTGAAAGCTGTGATGAGCGGGGGCTGCGAGGAGGCACTCAGGCTCTGGGACACAGCACACTCACCCAGTGCCCGGGCTCCCCACAGAGACACCCACTGCTCCAGTTGCATGGCCAGGGACCCCATTGCTGGGCAAGGAGGAGCAGGGGGATGGATGTCCTACCTGCATGCCAGCCTGGCTCCCATCTCACATCCCCTGGTCATGGAAAGGCAGGTAGCCACTCCCGGTGCTGCTCAGCGAGCCACTGATGCTGAATGGTGGCACCAGCTCCACTGCCACCGACCCCAGCCCACTGCAGGGAAGGCAGAGATGTCAGCGAGCTGCCTGATCCCCTCCAGACCCTGGCAGCCACAGTCAGGGCTCCCCAGTGCACCTCTGTCCCAGGCAGGCAGTGTCTGCTGGGTGGGACTGGAACTGGTGAGGGTTTGCAAAGGGAGCACCCATCCCACCCCAGGTCCCTGCACAGCTTCGCTCACCAGGTGTGGTAGAGGTTGAAGACAAAGTCAGGCCCTAGGGAGGAGGGAAGGAGACGTGTCAGAGCCAGGCAGGGCCATGAACTCGCCTTCAATCTGCCGTGAGTCTGGGCAGGACAGCCAGCACTGGGATGGCCAGTTGCACTGGGACATCACTGTGCATCCCCTGCTCGGCCTGAGAGCCACCCTGCACACAGGTTTCCCCAGCCCTGGGGACCAGCACATGTCAGGGGTGCTCCCCGCACTCTGGGCTCTGCAGCCCTTTTCTCTGGAGCCCTCCCTGCCCGTCCCCCTGCTCTGCCTGTACTCACGGCGCCAGCCCCTCTGGTACCACCGGACCAGGGCGTAGCCAAAAAGCACCAGGATCAGCAAGGCCAGCCCGACACCCAAGACAATCCCAAGCATGTGGATGGGCTCTTGCCCTGTAAAAGCAGAGGGAGAAGGTGCTCTGCAGACAAATGTCTCCGGTAGGCTGGGGGTCCCGATCTTCCCAGGGGGTTGGGATACAACCCTGTGGCGTGGAGGGACCGTGCTCCACGAGGATGTTAGCCAAAAAGCACCAGGATCAGCAAGGCCAGCCCGACACCCAAGACAATCCCAAGCATGTGGATGGGCTCTTGCCCTGTAAAAGCAGAGGGAGAAGGTGCTCTGCAGACAAATGTCTCCGGTAGGCTGGGGGTCCCGATCTTCCCAGGGGGTTGGGATACAACCCTGTGGCGTGGAGGGACCGTGCTCCACGAGGATGTTGAGCATTGTGGTACAGAGATTTCTGCTACCCCCAAAGCCCCATTCTGGAGATTTATGATCTTGGTTGCACAGCCACCTCCTCTGCTGTCCCCAGGCAGGGTGGGATGGTGACCTGGGAAGGAACCCTCAGCCTCAACAGGAAGGGAATGGCTGTAAATAGGAGCCCACCTTCCCCATAAGCAGGATCCCAGAGCCCAGGCAGCTTTTGGCCATGCCTGGAACCCATCACACTGTGCTGGAAGCGGGAAGCTGATCACCCTGACAATGGCTGTATCCCCACTCCTGGTCCCACACACACTCTGGGGGTGAAGCTGTTGGTGATCAGCAGGGTTTAGCTGTGCAATTTAGCTGTAATTTTGGCAGCAGGTAGCAGAGCAGGGCTGGCGCTGAGGGGACACTTGCCGGCTGTGACCTCTCACAGCCAGACTGCCCTGCAGCTTCAGTTCATCATGCTGGCCATGCAGTGCCTGGCTGAACAGAGAGCAGCAAGATGTCACAGCTGTGACACCAGTGCTGGCTGTCCCAGTGCCCCCGCAGCCACACAGTGCCATACCCTGAGCTGTCCCCCCAGCCGTCCCTGCGCAGCCGCGCAGACCCATTTCTGGACAGGCAGTTCCCTCTAGAGGAAGCCTTTGCCAGGGCAAGCAGCGCTGGGACTGGGCGATGATGGGACAGTGCAGGATCTCTGCAGCAGTGCTGCACCCCTCCATCCATCCCTCCCACCTGCACCACGGGCTCTGGCAAAGCCCAGTGTTGGCCAACACTCCCGGCATTGTCAAGGGGACACCAGCGTGTCCAGGCACAGCACAG